GATAAAATTTAAGATAGAAAAGAGGCACATTGGGAAAAAATAAATATAATTCAGAAAACAATATTAAAAAAACAAAAATCGGTTGAAAGTAGGCCTTTTCTGAAATTAAAGTTTCATGACACATGGAGGAAAAATGTTCCCATACAAAATAGAGATGCTACGTTTTAGAAGAGTAAGATTTGATTTGCAAATTAAAGTACTAAGAAGTGTAGTTTATGATGTGGGGGCTTGCGGCTGAACCGGGGTTCAGCAAAAAGTAGTCGGTGCAGTCTCCCTGCTCAAGGGGAGAGTTCTCCCCACCCCCTCCTCTTAGTTATCTTTTATTACAATTAGGCTTTGTTTTGTGTTAAAGTTTAGTTTTGATGAGATTTCTCTTTGGACACCAGCCGGCGCACCCTTTTCTTTTTTTAGAGTTGTATCTGACAGCGAGAAAGTGCTCCGGCTGTAACTCATCCGAAATGGTATGTATCTTGTCCTTTCTCTTTGCTACCATTTTCCCCGTTTTCCCTACCGTCACCATCCAACCGCTCCGCTATTCTTGTTTCATAATCTGCGGCCTAACCAATTGTACTGCAACTCTACAACGATCCACTATTCCAGCCTTCCTGCTGGGCTGCATGCCAACTTTGCCATCATGCTGGGCCAAAACCACTTCCTACTCATTTCCTACTCCCGACAGGCTCATTTACTACTCCCTATTGCTGCCTCCAACCCGCAAATCCCCCCACCCCCCGTCCAGCAGTTAGTCACTCTTCCGTCACTTATCCCCTCCAATTCAACAGCAGACCCTGATGTTGCTGCACTCCACACCAGCCACCTGCCACTGTTGCAACCTTCAATCCATTACCCACCTGTTGTGCAGATAGCGTTCACCACCATCATTCTCGCCCTAGGATGTCTTTTATGCTTTGTATTTATCCTATTGTCGATAGTTTTTATTTGTAACCCTAATGAATTTCAACAATAATAATTGTCTTTACATTGTGGTTTGGGTTAACTCTGGTAACAATTGGTATCAAAACTAGCTTAACTCCAATCCTATCCTAGGGTTTCTAGCATCTATTTTTCTCCACTAAAATTTGTTTTTCTATTCTCAAACCACGGCTAAACTTAAACCTAACCCTAATCTTCCCCTACTAATTTTCAAAATCAGCAAATTAAAATCAATTTTTTTCACCCTCTTTTACTTCTCAACTCTAAACTCTAGCCATACCACTAAGAAGATACATGCCCGAGCTTACTAGGAAAGAGATGTAGCAAGAGATCCGCCGACTTCAACGGATGCTTGCGGACATTGAGAATGAAACCCCGAGGATGATTAGCCTTGACCGTAATCTGGAGAGTCTAAGGGGAGAATGAGAGAATTTGGAGATGAAACAGAAGATATAGTATCAGCTCCTACCAGATTACTACAAATAGAATGTTCAAACCATAGTTTCAGAAGTGGAGATAGCACATCACCAAGTGACCACCACATTTTACAGGCAGAGTTCAACCTCAGTATCTTACAACCATAATTCACCTAGGAGAACAACCAAGACGATAACGTCAGAAGAAAAATTGGAACCAATCCACATCCCTGAATCTGTAAAAGTCAGAAGTGTTGCAACTGCCACAGATTTGGGTAAGTTGAATCAGACTGTACAATTAGAATGGTGATCAGTTTCACTGAGCAGGGCGTTCTTGAAAAATTAATAATGACACAGTAAACACTGAAAACAATGAAGGCACAGAAAAATGACCAGTTTCCAATTGAGGATGAAAAGATGAACATAGTTCTAGTTGAGTTTGTGGGAAAGACTCCAACTGACTTCACGAAGAGTATCCAAGGCGGTCTTGAGTTTGAGGAACTGATACCAAAAACATGACAACCCCAGATAAGCGAAATTTAGATCATTCAAATCTATAGACTCATTTCTAAACTCCCTCTATTGAGGGAGGTCCAGTACATCAGAAATGTGGCCCTTTTGGGTCATGATTGGAAGATTATATGGAGTTATTTAGATGTTAGATTCAATTTAGCATGATACCCATCATCAGATGTCTAGACAGGAGGGGTAAGCCCCAGCCTTCAAATCTGTCTTAGGAGCTTGATGGGGAAGAAAATTTGTCAATGAAATCCTAAGTCCTATCAGTGAAGAAGAGGACTCTCCTGAGTGGTTGCTAGTAAGCGTGGTGCAACCTGTCACAAATTTCACCCCATAATTAATTTTCGATCACATATTGGTTTATTAGCTAAATTCCGCTAAGTACAAAAAGTGAAAGAAGAATGTTCTAGATTTAAGAATTCAAATGTTACATTGCGGGAACCTATATCTATACACAACTCCAACTCAGGATGTGTCAAGAGATAATGCATATTTGTTCAATCAAGACGTGTTGTGGAATGACAACACCTACATGATCAACCTATCAGGGGACTACATTATCTCTGCTACATTCAACGTGGCAAACTTGACTCTGTGCTACGAGAAGCTAGAAGCTTAGACGAATGAATGAAGCTCCCCCAACCCCAATAGAATGACGCAATGCGGTTGGGGCTAAATCGGCCCCAACCAGTTCAGCAAGAAGCTGTCGGTTTAATAGGAAGGCTGAAATGGCCAAATCCTGCTTAGGGTTTGGAGTGTTGCCGCCCAAGTTGAGTTTGTGGGAGAGACTCCAACTGACTTCACGAATAGTATCCAAGATAGTCTTGAGTTCGAGGAACTGATACCAAAGACATGACAACCCCAGATAAGAGAAAATTAGATCATTCAAATCTATAGGACTTATTTCTAAGTTTCCTCTATTGAGGGAGGTTCAGTACATCAGAAATGTGGTACTTTTGTGCATGACTGGAAGATTATATGGAGTTATTCAGATGTTAGATTCAGTTCAGCATAATACCCATCATCAGATGTCCAGACAAGAGGGGTGAACCCCAGCCTTAACTATCTTAGGAGCTTGATGAGGAAGAAAATTCTTCAATGAGATCCAAGTTCTATTAGTGAAGAAGATGACTCTCCTGAGTGGTTGCTAGTGAGAGTGGTGTAACCCGTCACAGATTTTACCCCAGAATTGATTTCCAATCACATACTGGTTTATCAACTACATTCTACTAAGTACGAGAAGTGAAAGAAGAATGATCTAGATTTAAGGATTCAAGAGTTACATTGCGGGAACCTATATGTATATATAACTCAAACTCAGGATGTGTCAAGAGATGATGCATATTTATTATATCAAGATGTGTTGTGGAATGACAACACCTACATGATGAACTATCAGGGGACTACAATATCTCTGCTACCTTCAACATGGCAAACTTGACTCTGTGCTACAAGGAGCTAGAAGTTTCGATGAATGAAATTGAAGCTCCCCCAATTTCGATAGACTGAAGTAAAGCGATTGGTGCTGAATCGGCCCCAATTAGTTCAGCAAGAAGCTTTCGGTTCAATAGGAATGCTGAACC